CGGTTAACAAGAGTGCTGGAATGACAGCTAAACCCAGTGATATCCTCCATCCATTTGCCCCTGACATTCTGCATGCACATAGCACAACTTCATTACACCTTATACGTGATTCATATTTATAACTAGCTAATAATTAATTATATTGGCTTAATTACTTGGAAGTTCCATAGTTGATCATGTTTGCTACAAGAATGCCAATGGTGCACATCAGTTGGAAGAGTATATTTAGTGAGCCACGAATTCTTGTGGGTGCAACCTCCGAAAGGAAAAGTGGCACCGCCTGTAATCAATCATATAGATATCCATTATTTATATAGCAAATTAATATATCAATGTGTTCAAACTACAAATCCTTATAATGGAAATTAAGATAAGATTAAGAGTTAATTGAACCTGGTTAGCAAAACCAACTCCACAACCAAGTAAGATCCTCCCAATGATAAGCATGGCAAGGTTAACAGCTGCAGCATTGAAAGCTGTTCCGACCAGGAAGAAAATCCCAGCCATCAACATGGTTAGCTTTCGGCCTAGCAATTTGGTTGTGTACGATGCAACGAAGGTAGCTACCAAAGCAGCGAGGTACAATGAAGACGTGAACAGCTGCAAGCCCTGATTATCGTATTTACAGTAATTGCTTTCAAGTCCAGGCTGGCTGTTCTTCTTATACACTGTTGGGAAGAATTCCCTCAGGAACTCCGGCATGGATGTAACACCCCCTGCATGATCAATTATAATTTCATCATTAGACTACAATATAAATTAATTTTGTTTACATACCATTTGCATGCATGCATGCATGAGAACATATAGCTAGCTAGCTAGCTCTTAGCTACATACGTACGTACCGGAAATACCAACGTCATAACCAAACATGAGGCCTCCGCTGGAGGCCAATATGCAAGAAATGATCACAAGAGGCGTGATCTTTGCCTCAAAGTCTCCTCCTCCCGTCCCGGTCCCAAATCCACCACCGGCCATGGTTTCTGCTTCTTAATCAATTTAGAACTCGAACTTACTTCGCTACACTTTAATTCTTAGTATCTAATTACACAAGTATTTTGCATTTATTTATATATATATATATATATCTACTAGATGACCTCTATCAAACTGAAGAAGAAAAGGAAGAAGAAGAGACTTTGCTCTGTGAAATGAGGTGTGTGTTCTTCAGGGGCTTATATACCAGACGACCTGAAGACCTGAAGGGGACAGAGAGTGAACCACGTAGAAAATGGATGACTGTCATGACTTAGTAAGTTCCATGGACAGGACCTTTCCACATTGGATGGTCAACTGTTGATGTACGTAGTCTTCATTCTTGTTGCTTTGCTTAGTCTTAGTCGTCTTGACCAAGATATATTTAGACACCCCAAAATTAGATCCTCATCCACCTCAAATTAATTATCGGCTCAAATATTTATTTAAATATAGGCTTTCTAAACATCTCTATTTTACTAATTTTATTATTTATATTTTTAGACTTCTATTTATAAACCAAGTTTGTTTTGTTTTAACGATGTAAATGAAATGATGCATTGAACTATATACGTATAATTGTAATTTATTTTATTTTATTTACGAACCACATTTTTTTAAAGTGAGATCTACTTGTATAGATGAGTCACATGTTATCAGATACGTTGTCAATAATATGATAAGTGTGATATAAAGTTATATTCTCGATATAGAAATCTCACAGAATCATGAACCTTGGAATAGATTCAAAACAATGAATTAAGTAATAAATTGGAATCACGACTATGCGCTGGAGCACAAGGGACTAGTGCCAGCTCCCTTGAATTGATGCTGCAAAAAAATCTTCCTCTTTTTACTTTTTCTTTTGCAGCGTTTTCGCTTTCGATCGATCTAAAAATATTCGGCATATTATTTTTCCAACAATCTCGCGCCAACACTTCGTTTAACTTTCCCAATTCCTAATTTTCTCCCTTCAAAATAGTAGACAAAAGTAAAGAAGGCTCATGGGATCCCATCGTTACTCCACCAACTGATGTCCAACTAACTTAGTGCTTTTGAAATAATCAACTTACAATTCATAGGCAGAACAGAAAAAGAAAGGCCCAATTAGTGAAGTCATAATTGCAGGCTTAGCATTGGAAGACAAGCAACAGTTGCACTAATAGTGGCTGCACCACAAAAGCTGCTTAATATTGGTTCAACCTCAAGACTTTTAAAATAATTCTATTTATTTATGAACAGTTGAAAGTTTTAGCTTTGTAAAAAAGTAGAAAAAGTCATGCATCCTATACCTCCCAACCTTTCGGCCGCGGACATGAGCATCCGTACGTTTCCTTCTTTACTTTCACGAATTTTCCCGTGAACAAAATCGAGTCTTTGTTTTTATCCTTATCCAAAACCAACAACGAAAGTCTCGACTTCCAAATCCGAAACCCAAACGCCTTGCGATTTGCATGGTTTTTGAGCATATAATTAAATTAAAACGGTCAATTTTGGTGCGTCCCAAAAGTATACATCAACCCTCACGCATTCTTGGCAGCCCACTGTCCCTCTCAACTCTCCCTGAGGTCATCGTTTAACGTCATTTCTTTTCAATTTGTTTTTATTTTTTGTTCAACATTTCTTTTTGAACCTTTTGATTAACTTTTTTCTTTTGTTTAAAGAAAAAAGGGCAAACGCAGGGGTTTGCCAAGGTGATCAAAATAAAGTGTTGGCTAAATGACATGGTTGTTGTGCAAGAGATTTGTAGCTCAAGTAGTTAAGAGCAGTTAGCTCTACACTTGATGCCCTATGTACGAATTCATCTTCCCCAATATTGGTTTATTTTTTGGGGTGCGGGTGGGGGGTTTGTTTCTTTTGGCCAGAGACATTCTTCCGTTGTAAACTCTATTTTCCCAAATACAAAATCACATGTTTCAGATGATACATGTGAACACACACAAAAATAGGGGAAGATAACAGCAAAGTAATTATCTGATTTGCCATGTGAATTGGAGGAATACAATAATATATTAAGAACACGCCAGGCAGTGAGATTTGGATGCTGGATTTGCCAATTTCTACTCTTTAAGAAAATTTAAAAAAAAAAGGAAATGAATAATAATAAAAGTCTTGTATTGGGCATTGAAGAAAAGTACTCCACATTTATTTTATAATATTGTGGGGTTTGCACATTTTAAATCTTGGGTCCATGGTTGAGTCACCGCAAGATCAGCCTGACTTGTTTTATTTCAACGGTTCAATTGAGGTTGCTGAATTTGTTAAAACAAAACTATATTTTATCACCCACATGAGACATCACCAACAATATTAAAAATAGAAAACTACATGACATTTAAAGATGACTAGATTACCAATTAAAATTATTATTTTAGAGAAATTATTTGGTTTTAATGGAGTTAAATCATGGTTTTAATTTCCTTTTGGGTCCTAAACTAAAGCATTAATTTGGTGGGAATTCCAATATTGTATTGACCTAATGAACAAATGGTCCTATTTTGGATTATTATAGTTTTTTTCCTTGTCTAGTTTTGTTTCAGTGCGTTTTTATTGCTCCTTATTAAGTTCAATCTTCTGATATTACAGCTCGAATCGAAATGATATGGTATACGAGTTCACCCAAATTATTACACGCGTATGTAATTAGTAATATCGAAATTATAACGAACCCTAAATCTAGCATACCTTGAAAGTTCGAAGTTGCCTTGATTCTGAAATAACATTCAACCCAGCCGCAAAATAGGTGGCTAATTAATCCTGTGATATTTGGTCTTATTAAACTGACTCGAACTTTGTTAGGGAGGTAAGGCGTTACGTATATCTATAGCACTGTGTAAGGTTCAACGGTGGGAAATGAAAGCCATCAAATTGTTGGACCACAATTTGTCGTCGTCTGTGTCATGTATGAGAAAAAATAAAATAAAAACAAACTGTGTCATTTACGTAAAGCTTTATATTCGTTTTTAGTTTCTGAACGCCTGTCGTATTGGCAATCTGTTGATGATGTCGACGGACTGATCAAAAAATTACATGTGCAATTTCGAATTCGAAAGGCATATTTAAATTGAGCAAAAATAATATAGGAAACATCGATGTTTTCCACGAACTTGCATCATTTGCACATGTGGATTATGGGGGCACGTCGACCTCTGGAATTTTAGGTTTTTGTTCTAATCCTCCTTCATGGATAACCTAATTAATGACATTCTCTTATTAAGTTGACCAAAATAAGCATTTGAAAAACAGAAAAAGAAGTCGATTGGGAACTTGCTTGCCCCCAGAAAAAAAAAAAACAAATTGATACAAAAAATCAAATGATCTTAATACTTTAATGAAGTGTAAGAAGACTCGGCCCTGAAATTTTGGAGGCTCAGGGCAATACCCAAAAGAAGACCTTACAATCATAAAAAGATATCTATTCCGTACAAAAAATTCACTTTACTTATTTGAATGGCTAAATTTTTTAGGACTCGAACTTGAACATGTTTTAAGTAAAGGAGTAATGCTATTTAGACACACAACATTTACCACCTTATGTAGCAACTGATGTGTCATACCATATCAATTAATGAATGTGCCATGAGGCCATTTACTAGGAACAAATTCAAACCAACTACTCGAAGAGCAACTTTAAGAAATCTTGATGTCGTAATTCTAAATTGGATTTAGTATGAACATGATAATAAATTATTTTAGAAAATTTATGTTCATTTATCTAACCAAAAACGAAAACCATTGACATTCAAGTTTTTATTTTGGTCAAAACCCATTAACATTCGGATTGGGTGCCAGGAGAACTTTAGAATACTTATTACAGGAGATATTGTTTTTGTTGACTGCGGACCAGAAAGCCAGCGAGCAAGACGTCAATGAGTGAACAGAGAACGCCATCCGTCCGTGTCAATACACGTGGACAAATATCAACGGTGGTGCCCACTGCACGATCCAATTCGTAGTACCTCGTGCTTTCTTTCATGCCTCGTCCTCTATATAAACCCCCCTCGTCTCCATAAACTCTCATTCACACTACCATTCATCTCTCCCTCTCTCTCCTCTTGGTTTCAGAAATTAACAGAAACTAAAGGCAAGTTTTGGTCTTGGTTCATCGGCAATGGCTGGTGGAGGGTTCGCGGCCAGTTCGGCCGGGCATGAGTTCGAGGCGAAGATCACGCCCATCGTCATCATCTCGTGTATAATGGCGGCCACCGGAGGGCTCATGTTTGGCTACGACGTTGGCGTTTCAGGTAAAAATTAACTTCACCTGACGAATCATTTGGGCTTGGTGTGCTTAGATCTTGCTGGTTCAGCTACTCTGGTAGATGGAGTTTGAGGGCATTGTTTGGTTAGGGTTCAAGGAAATCTTTTAGGCAGCGGTTTAATTTGTTCAATGCGTTAATACTGTGCTTGATTAATTAATTCATGTTTTTCTTCGCTTTTAGTAAACAAAACCACTTTTAGTCAATTCCGGCGTAAGCAGCAAAAGAAAGTTTCTATTTTTATAATGGAAAAAGGGAGAATTTTTTTGTTCAAATTATTATTTTAATGAAGCAAAAAGTTTCTATTTTTATGTTTTCTGCTGTTCAATTATGAAAAATAAAATCGCTTTTCACAAATAACAAGCGGTTAGTTTTGAATTTTTCTCTCAAAATACGCTCTATGGGAGTTTTTGTATAATATCATGTTAATACGGACTTATTTATAAAAACCTAAAACAAAACATTGCATATCATGTATGTTTTCTGAAATTTTCCAAATTCATGAGAAACTTGTGAGTGCTTTCTGGTTGAGTTTTGGGCTAAATTAAATTTTCCAAATTTGATCCATTTTTGGGCCAATGAGATTTAAGGAGTTTTTTTTTATTTCCCACCTTCTTCTTTTTTCGCTTTTTGTCGCTCCCGCCAAATTGGGAATCCGAGCAGACATGACTAAATCATGAGTCGAGTCGAGGACTTATTATGCATCAGCCATCATCACACCCGCTGACTACCATCACCATGTGCTGCTTTGATTTCCATGTTTTGGAAAATGACCTTTATACCCTTTTGTTGCAGGTGGAGTTACATCCATGTCCCCGTTCCTGAAAAAGTTCTTCCCTGTTGTGTACAGGAAGACGCAGGATAAGGGGATCGACAGCAATTACTGCAAATACGATAACCAGGGCCTGCAGTTATTCACGTCTTCGCTTTACCTTGCTGGTTTAACGGCGACGTTCGCGGCGTCCTACACAACCAGAAAGTACGGGCGAAGGCCGTCTATGCTCATCGCTGGCGTCTTCTTCATAGTCGGGACAATTCTCAATGGTGCAGCTCAAGACCTTGCCATGCTCATCATTGGCAGGATCTCACTTGGTTGTGGAGTTGGGTTTGCCAATCAGGTCAGTTCAATTTTCAATTTTGTTCATAATTAGGTATTTTTTAAATCTGCAATAGTTTAAACTACTCTTAAATTAATATATTTTACAAGAAAAGGGAATTCAAACTTGATTGTAAGAGAGGTTGGCTCACTATCCTGACGAACCGACTGGCGTAACCCAAATCTCTTGCAATACCATAATACCAAATTTAATGTTATGGTTACGTAATCTCTGTGGGGACAGTGTGTGGTGTGAAAGCTAAAAACGCATTCTTTAGCCTTGTCTCTTGCCATACCGACACCATATAAGTATTGGGTCCATTCCTACTTCTGTAATAAGTCTAATTTGATTATAACATTTCGTAGGTGTACACTGACTAGTGACTTAGACACCTCACCTTGTTATAATTAAGAATCAAAGAAAGGGGTGGTTTAGTTAATCAATTTTTCTCAAAATATCATGGCAAAATATTCTTTTGTGGCTTATAAAATGTTTGTTGGTTGTAAACGCTTAGATTGGAAGAGATGTATGCCCAGAAGCCATGGCCCATGGGCATCTTTATTTCTATGCTTTTAGAGTCATTTTCTTTGCAAGTCACAATCATCCACAGGGTTTTCCAACTCTGTTTACTTTAAATATATTCTCGTGTTTTGACGTTTGTACATGTGGTCACCATGAGACTTCTTTGCTATTTTGTGGCTTAATTTCTTTAAGAAGACAACAGATAACGATAAGGGGACTTGGAGTTATCCAGAGAGTCCCCACCGCACACAATGCCTTTGCATCTTCTTCGATTCAATTTTTTTTTAAAACCAAAAAGTCGTGAATTTCTTTGTGAAATAACGGGAAAATGTGGACCTTTTCTTGTTCCAATGTTTTGTAGCTGGTCCATGACTATGTGATCTACATGTCCAAATTGTTCATCTTATCCTTTTATAGTTATTATGACCTTAAATTCAACCTCTTATGTTACAAGGGTTGGCGCTGGATGATTATTACAAAATAAAAAAATAAAAAAAGCATCCTTAAGGCAATATGTATGTTTGAACTTATTTAATGAAAGAGACTAAACTAACCCTATTACAACTACAACAAGTTGATATATATATGTTTCAGTTGGAAAAAAAAATTGATATCCAGATAAACAATTGAAATTGGTCGTCTGCTTTTCTTGTTCAATAATCATTCAATTGTCATGTTACTTACAGGCTGTGCCACTGTTCCTTTCGGAGATTGCACCTACAAGAATACGTGGAGGGCTAAACATACTGTTCCAGCTCAATATCACCATTGGCATTCTATTTGCAAACCTCGTTAATTACGGCACCAATAAGTAAGTCAGCTTCTTTGTTCATGTTTGTGTGCTCGCTCAGAATGAAAGAATTATTGGTCTAGAATTAATAAGATAAAACAATATAGTATATATTTTAAAATGGAAGACAGGGTAGCTGTGTGGGAATAACAGTACACGTGTTGTTGATCCAAGAGGAAACATTACACGTGCCCATAAATTACATGCAAGATGTTGAACGTTCTGTCAAATTTTATATGTTAGTATTATTGCTTATGCTGCCTCTGTTGGACTATTGGGATTTTAGCATTCAGTTCAGCACTCAAAGTCAACAATTTGGCTCATCAAATAAACTATTCAATTAATAGACTGGTTAAACTAACGATAGATGAGTATCTGTCTGAGGGAGGGAAGGAGGGAAGGAGGGGAAGGAGGGAGGATTTGTTCTATTAAAATATGCATTTGAGTAATAGATAGGATCTTGATTTGTGGGATTTACAAGGTTTTCTAATCAAGAAGTGTCTCATGGTACCGTGGGACAAAAAAGGGTAGGTGTTAGTTAACAAAGACGTGCAAGATATTCTTTTCAGCTTACAAATTGTTTGACCCCTTTTCTATTATCTAATTCATATTCAGATGGCTCAAAATTTTCAAACTTATCATGTCTCCAAGTCAATTTGAGGAATTCAAACATTATCAAAGATTCAAAGCAATTCATTTTGTATAGGTCATTCATTTGGGCATTTGGGCATTTGGGATGCCTAATTGTCCCTAGGAATATCATGAGATAGAAATTAAGGGAAAAGTCCATAGAAAATATCAATTTTAATTTAGGTTTATTTCATTGCATGTGAAATTACCACTTTCTCCTTTACTTCTTCGGTCACAAAAAGTGTCTAGTTAATGTGACCAAAACTGTCTAGTTAACGGCTTACTTTGTCTACTTAACAATTTTCCGTGAAAATTTTCATATAGCACATGTATTTTGTAAATGCTGACTATTTTGCATACTGTTGATGAACTTCCTTGATTAACAGAATCTCAGGAGGATGGGGCTGGAGGGTGTCATTGGGGTTGGCTGGTCTTCCGGCTGGTCTCCTAACCTTGGGAGCCCTTTTGGTGGTGGAAACTCCCAACAGTCTTGTAGAGCGCGGTCTCTTAGAAGAAGGAAAAGCTGTACTTAGGAGGATCCGGGGCACTGATAATGTGGAACCAGAGTTCTTGGAACTTGTTGAGGCTAGTCGCATCGCTAAAGAAGTGAAGCACCCCTTTAGAAATCTCTTAAAGCTTAGGAATCGCCCCCAACTTATCATTGCAGTATCCATGCAGGTTAGTAATTAACAGAATGCCTTTTCGCACTAAACCGAATTAAAAAAAATTTCAATTAGTACTAGTATGCTGATTGTGTTTTCTTTCTTGACTGAAACTTCTCTGCAGATCTTTCAACAATTTACTGGCATCAACGCAATTATGTTTTACGCGCCAGTCCTATTCAACACATTAGGATTTGGCAACGACGCTGCCCTCTACTCAGCTGTTATAACAGGGGCCGTCAATGTTCTCGCCACTGTTGTATCCATCTACTCAGTTGATAAAGTAGGCCGTCGCATGCTGTTACTGCAAGCCGGAGTTCAAATGTTCCTGTCTCAAGTGGTTATAGCCGTAATACTAGGACTCAAGGTCAAGGACCACTCTGATAACCTTCACAAAGGCTTTGCAATCTTTGTGGTGGTTCTGGTTTGCACTTACGTAGCTGCATTTGCTTGGTCTTGGGGACCTCTAGGTTGGCTGATACCTAGTGAGACATTCCCGCTAGAGACCCGCTCAGCCGGGCAAAGTGTGACCGTCTGCACCAACTTGCTCTTCACTTTTGTCATAGCACAGGGCTTCCTCTCAATGCTTTGCCACTTCAAGTTTGGCATCTTCCTCTTCTTCTCCGGCTGGGTCTTAATTATGTCATTCTTTGTGCTGTTCCTGCTCCCGGAGACGAAAAACATCCCAATTGAAGAAATGACAGAGAGGGTATGGAAGCAGCATTGGCTTTGGAAGAGGTTCATGGATGACTACCACATTGAAGGAAATCAGATTGCTGGAGATGACTTAAAGAAAAACGGGCATGCTAATGGATTTGATCCTGTTTCTCAGCTGTAAATTTGGGGAAAGTAGCAGGGTTTTGTCTACACGAAATAGTAAATACATCGCTTAGATATATCTAAACAATATTATATATATTATTTCCAATGTCATTAATTAACCTTCCTCTGTTTCAAGGGGAAGGTCATGTATTGAAAAGCTTTATGCGGTGCATTTGTTCATCTTTTGTGTTTGTGGAGTTTATTACAACATAACATTGTTTTGCTCAGAATCCACTCATTGACAGTAGCTTTTAGTATACAAAACTAATTTACATGAAAAATCTCTGTTTTCATTTTTTTTTTTCGTTTTTCGGTTCTCTTTCAAGGCACTCGCTAGTATGAAGGGTCATTTCCCTTGGAACCATTCACTAAAGGGAAGAATGACTGGTAAAGAAATGCCAACAGATGGCGATTGGTTTGTTTTGGCCTTCACCCTCGCAAAGAAACAACTTCATATCATACCCCAACGAATTAATAACTTGCCACCAAACTAGCACCCAAAAGCCAAAACAACTTTAAAAAATCTGTTTAATCTCAAAAGGATCTTTCACTCAATAGCAACATGACATCCCAAAAACAAAGATGAAAGAATATGATAGAAGAAAATTCTGGTTTGCTACTGATGATGCCCCTTTAGACCTAAAAGCACTTTATAAATTTCCATAAATCGATCAGAAGAAATTAATTTACTACTCTTTCCCTCCGTCAAAGTTTCTTGCAGCTGCCATGGCTTTGGGAGCGAGAGTGTTGGCTCTAGAGTTGGTGATAATGGTTGTGGCGCAGGTATCCCATGCAGCTGTTTACAGGTTTGGTGTGCTAGCAACTTTTAGTGAGCAACAAGGAGAGCCTGTAAGTTTCTCTTCTTCTGTTTATGAGTTGCTTCACACATTTGTATATGTTCTCCTTTTGGTATTTGTATCATGTGAACAAGAATCTGAGATTTGTTCTTGGCTCATTTGTATTTGTGACTAGTGTGAGTGATTGGATGTATTTGGGGTTTGGGTCGAGAGAGTTGATCTCTGTAATCTCCTGTTGTGGTGAGAGTATTAACTCCTCTGTAATCTCCTTGTGTTAATAGTAGAATTTCCTCGCCATCTTCGAACTGGACATAGGCTTTAATGCCACACCAGTATAAACCTCTGTGTGTTGTTTTGGTTTATCTACATCTGTCATATCGTGTCTTGTTATTTTATCAGTCTCATATCTTGATTCTTCCGCGCGCAACAGAGGAAGATTTCACTGTTGACATCTGAGACGGCGGTTCCCAAAAGACAAACACCCCAGTGCTAACTACCAAGATGTTCAGAGACCAAAGATCCTCAATTTGCCTATTTTAATATGCCTGAGTGAGCCTAAAACATAGCAGATTGCCTGGCAGCAGTTTCCATGGCAGTTGCCTATTGTATATATATTAGCTCACATTAGTGCAAATTACTTAAGTTCCTTCATATACTATATACATATATATAATTTTATAAATGAATGTTGGTTTTATTTATCATTTTGGCAGGAGATTCGGAGAAGTTAAAGCTCTCTACGTGCAAAATGTTGAGAAACCTTGCTTTGCCCGCCTTGTTTTTCATTCTGCTTCCGCCGTTGAAGCTGTCTTTAATAGGAGAAAAAAGGTCGTATTCTCCATTAATGGGAAGGATGTTACAGCTAGGAAAACTCTTCCTACGCATAGCCTCTCATCATAAATGACCACCAAAATCAGTATCAGAAACCCCATGGCCAACATCACAAGCACAAACCAATAATAAGTTCCTCTGCTGCCACTGCATGCGCACCCTGATGATCAAGGGACATTTTTAATTTGCTAGGACTGGGAATTGCAACTCTGATAATTTTTGTTTGTCTTCTTCCATCCTTTTATGGAATGACTGGGAATTGCAACTCTGATAGTTTTTGTTTGTAGTCTTCCATCCTTTTATGGAATGCGTGTGTCTCAAGTTCATTGCTTTATATGGTCACTTTGAGAGGTTTTTAATAAGGAACTTTTAAGGTGGCTTAGTTGTGATATTTCCATACTCGACATACATTTTTGTACCAATAATGTTATTTGTACCACATTTGTTAATCACATTGCTGACCACCACTACTAAAAAATGGGTAATGCTAGGCTTACCACATTTTTCATACCACATTTGTACCATATCTCTAATAGATGTGGAGCCCACCAATATAATGGGGCCCACCTCTATTAGAGATGTGGTACAAATGTGGTATGAAAAATGTCGTAAACCTAGCATTTTCCCTAAAAAATTGAGCAAAAACCACTGACATAAGGGCACAAATACAATATTGTGCTCTCTTTTATAATATTAGACACAAACAAGTTACATTTGTGAATCACACGTGCTACGCGCGACTTACGAAGTTTCGTAAATATTTTTTCACAATTATATTTATATAGATGTCCGTTTCAACATTTTCATATTTTAATTGTGCGCGTGTGATATATTGTCATCTTAAAAGTTTTCTTTTATCGCCCGTATTTTTCTAGATGTCCATCTTAGCAGTTTCTTTTTTATTTATTTTGTGCTCTCTTTTATAGTATTAGACACAAATAAGTTATATTTGTACTCTTTATATATATAACACAAATACTTGTGCTGAATTCGTGCACATAAGGCACGATTTTAAATTTGGCACAAGAAACAGTGCCCTATGTATCATGTAAGTACAATCTGACACATTTTTTAAATAATAACAAAAAGATCAGTTATTTCGACATGTTGCCCAGGCTCGCCGGAACGCAGCCGTGGAACTTGTTGTTTGCGAGGACGATGACGGAGACCGGCGAGTTCCCGAAGTTGTCCGGCAGATCGAACCTGAACCTGTTGTGGTTGATGAAAATGGCGTCCAAGTCCTTGTCGAACAGCTCCTTGGGCACAGTCCCTTCGAACTCATTGAACCTCAGATCCAAAAATTTCAGCTTTGGCAGCTGAAGAACAACCCGAGGAAACTTCCCAGCAAACCGATTGTTGCTGATATCGAGCTCAAAGAGCAGCTTGAGCTGCTTGAACTTGTGAGGCACAGTCCCGCAGAAGCGGTTGGAGTTGATGTGGAACAATGCGAGATCTGCAAGCAGCCCAAGAGTTGGATCTGGGCAAAGTTTAATTTATTTAATTTAATTTAATTTTTAAAGCATAGTGAAAAAAGATTTTTATTTATTAATTTTTCTATTATATATATATATATATATATATATATATATATTTAATTAAACAAATAATTACATTATTTTATTATTTATTTAATTCAATTTAAACAAAAAAGTGGGCCATTCACATGACATGTCATCACTTGTTGTAAAAAAGACTAAAATAACCTTGCCACATCATCAAAATTGACAGAGTTATTAATGGAGATAACGGCAGGGATAAAGTGAAACACGAAATCACAGTCAATGGGGTTAAGTGGGCCATTTTAACTTTTAGGGAGTAAAGAGAGATTTTACCGAAGTTTCAAGGGGCGTTACAGTAAATAAGCCTAACATAAACAAACATTAAAGTACAATAGTTAATAAATAAAAAACACAACGTATATCAAATTACATCATAAAAAATATATAGAGCCCACCATAAACATATTGCCTCCCATTGTGGGAGAGATTCCTTTAGAGCCCCAAAGATTCCATCGGAGCTCTAAATAGTACTCTACAAACCCTTTTTAGAGCCTCAATTATTGGGAATGGCCTTAGTCTTAGTCGTCTTGACCAAGATATATTTACACACCCCATATTAGATGTCATCTACCTCAAATTAATTATCGTCCTCTATACCCACTTCGTCTCCATATATCATCTCTCTCTCTCGCTCTTCTTCTTCTTCTTCTTCTTCCTCCTCCTTTTGGTTTCAGAAATTAACAGAAACTAAAGTCAAGTTTTGGTCTTGGTTCATCGGCAATGGCTGGTGGAGGGTTCGCGGCCAGTTCGACCGTGCAAGAGTTCGAGGCGAAGATCACGCCCATCGTCATCATCTCGTGTATAATGGCGGCCACCGGAGGGCTCATGTTTGGCTACGACATCGGCGTTAACGTTTCAGGTAAAAATTTACTTCACCTGACGAATCATTTGGGCTTGTTGTGCTTAGATCTTGCTGGCTCAGCTACTCTGGTAGATGGACCTTGAGGGCTTTGTTTGGTTAGGGTTCAAGGAAATCTTTTAGGCTGCGGTTTAATTTGTTCAATGCGTTAATACTGTGCTTGATTAATTCATTCAAGTTTTTCTTCGCTGTTAGTAAACAAAACCACTTTTAGTCAATTCCCGTGAAAGCAGCAAAAGAAAGTTTCTATTTTTATAATGGAAAGAGGGAGAATTTTTTTGTTCAAATTATTATTTTAATGAAGCAAAAAGATTCTATTTTTATGTTTTCTGCTGTTCAATTATGAAAAAGTTTTGAATTTTTCTCTTTAAATACGCTCTATGGGAGTTTTTGTATAATATCATGTTAATATGGACTTATTTATAAAAACCACAAAAAATTGCATATCATGTATGTTTTCTGAAATTTTCCAAATTCATGAAAAACTTGTGAGTGCTTTCTGGTTGAGTTTTGGGCTAAATTAAAGTTACCAAATTTGATCCATTTTTGGGCCAATGAGATTTAAGGAGTTTTTTTATTTCCCACCTTCTTCTTAATTTTTTGCCTTTTGTCGCTACTGCCAAATTGGGAATCCGAGCAGACATGACTGCTTTGATTATGCATCAGCATCATTACACCCGTTGACAATCATCACCATGTGCTGCTTTGATTTCCAAGTTTAGAAAAATGACCTTTATACCCTTTTGTTGCAGGTGGAGTTACATCCATGTCCCCGTTCCTGAAAAAGTTCTTCCCTGTTGTGTACAGGAAGACGCAGGATAAGGGGATCGACAGCAATTACTGCAAATACGATAACCAGGGCCTGCAGTTATTCACGTCGTCGCTTTACCTTGCTGGTTTAACAGCGACGTTCGCGGCGTCCTACACAACCAGAAAGTACGGGCGAAGGCCGTCTATGCTCATCGCTGGCGTCTTCTTCATAGTCGGGACAATTCTCAATGGTGCAGCTCAAGACCTTGCCATGCTCGTCATTGGCAGGATCTCACTTGGTTGTGGAGTTGGGTTTGCCAATCAAGTCAGTTCAATTTTCAATTTTGTTCATAATTAGGTATTTTTTAAACCTGAAATAGTCTAAATTACTCTAAGTTAATCTAATTTACAAGAAAAGGAAATTCCAACTTGAGTGTGAGAGAGGTCGGCACACTATCCCGGGCAACCGGCCTAATCCAATTAGATAGGTGCATAAGTTCAACATCATAACATGATGCATAATATGGCCCATGTCAAGCATAGTCATTCACCGATTAAAATTTGCATCAGGTCCAAAGTACACCAATGAGTGCTTCAACTCATAGACCTTATTTTCAGGGCACCTTCTATAGTGCACTAGGTGCACCCATGCGCCATTCGTCCTTTATGATGCGTCCAGATTTTTGAAAAAATTGGTTACCGGTTATACAAGTTGTCAAGTTTCCACTTTTTGTTACTATTTAACGCAAATGCAATTGCATAAGGGTCATGCAATTATGTCCTTCCTATTTGGCAATTGGCATATGATTTGACATGTTATTTTTCAATTGAATTTATTCTATTTGACTCACGATGACATGCTTATGAATTTCGCAATGCCATTAGTTTACTTTTATACATCTAAACTTACCATTTTAGACTCTCTTTTTTTTTTATGAGAACCATTTTATACTCTCTCTCTTTTTTTTTCTTTTTTCTTTTTTTCTGATTTCGATATGTCACCTCATTGTAGCTTTACTCAATTTCATTATGAGTTGCTGGCTTTATTTATATGAATTATGATGGCTAGTTGTGGTAAAACCTCCGTATTTTATGCTAGTTTTTAAAATTCAATTGAGGTTGATAGTTTTAATTTTTGTTTCTTTTGCTTCATAGAATTGGTGAATGCGCATCAACATTTATTTGAGAGCTTGAAAGTCTTTATCCATCAAATTTTTTCACCTCGAGTTTTGTCTATGTAATTGGTTGAAATCAATTTCCAAAATAAGAACTATATTAATTGTTGAACTCTATGTTACATGGTTGTATTTTCATAGACATCCAAGAAGTATTATAAATTTATATTCTTTTCCTAACATGGCCATGGATTTTATAGTACATTGTTAGGATTAAAAGTCAAGAAAAACAAGTATAAAATTAGAAAGTTTACAAGTTTTCTCATACATTACATGATTTTCATTTGTGTTTACAAGGATAATGACACAATTTTATTCCTCCAAAGTCCATTCTTACTTTGGTACTATGTGTCATTTTTTTTGTAAATTAGGGTATTACAGCGTTATGAATTAGGATGGATCATAATGTTGTTACAATTATTTCAATTATTTTACTACACTTGTAGATTTTTTTCCTGATTCATGAGTTATGGGTTGCTTTATATAACTTGTAACCAAAAATAATAAAACTTGGGTAGCTTTATATAAATCCAATTAGCCAAACTTAAACTTTATTTTTTTTTACTTGTAACCAAAAACAATATTTGAACATCTAAACGATTCTTTTTGTTTTGTTATTTCTTAAATGTGAATAAATTACTATAAGGAACTAAAATACGACTAAATAATATAACTTGTTCACGTGTTATAATATCAATCATTGATAAGATATTCAACTTTTAAGACATAATATCAATAAATATCAACTTATATTATAATAAATATTATATGACCATACTCTGAAGCCACACTATAATTACTTCTCAAGATGACATATTATTAACTAAGAGGCAAAATTTGTAGCAATGGTCCCTGAACTAAGCCCCAACTTTACTTTTCGTCCCTCACATTGCAAAATTATTACGGTGGTACTTTAATTATACCTCCACTTTCAAAAATCGTCTTTTCGATCATCTCAGTCAAATTTTCCGTTAAAAATGAGAGCATATTTGTCTTTTCATTAATTTTAAATTGATTAAAATGTTTATTAAAAAAAAAAAAATTCTATTTAAACCCCACATTTCTCTTTGTTCACCCCAAAAACTAA